AATAATTTTCTTTACATATATTTAATTGCAATTGTCCTATTATATTAGGAAAATTGTATCAAAAAATCATTCAAATGAATTATTTGCAAACAATAATCAATATAAAATAAATTATTATTAAAATAAAATAATAAATTTATTTTGTCTGAAATGAAACTTGTTATCACATTTTGTCTGTTTTGAATTGCATGGTCTTTGAATATGATAATCCGTGTTATTTTTATTGTTTGGTGCCGTTTTATGGGTCCAGCTTTTCGAAGGTTGAGATAGATTGTGACTAGTTAGTGATGTGAGTAACTTCCTTTTCTTTCTTTTTTTTTTAGCAAAAAAAAAATCCTTATTTTCTTCTGTGGGCCCAATTTTTCAAAAAAATTAATTATTAGTTTTCAAAACAAAACAGAACTAAAGGGGCTATAATAGAAATTAAAAAGTGCTTCTTTCTGAAGCAGTTCCGATTATCAACGACCATGGAGCGTCACCCTGCTCCTCCCATCGCTTTACCCACCATCACCGATCTCTCTCCTCTACAGCTAGGGTTTCTTGACAAGCATTTCTCAACCCACCAAGATTTGTCCCTCAATGCTTCTGTTCTCTCTTCCTCTTTGAGCCAACAATGCTCGGAATTGGACACTCAGCTCCGAAACCTGCAGAATGATCTCACCAAACGTGCTGTTTCGTGGATTTCTCGTTCCTTTTCGGCTAAATCAGCTCTCGACGAGCTCAACCACAACATGCAAAATCTCTGTCTCCGTACTTTTAGACGTCGGTCTTCTCTATTCTCTTCGTATTCTTTTTATGTACTTCGGTTGTTACGTTTCTGAAGTTTTTTTTAAATAATTTTAATCTACCGAATTTATAGACGGGATTGGTTCGAAGAAATTTCAAAGGTTGTTGAATGAGGAGCTTCCTCGATTGGCAAAGGAAGTGAAGCGAATTGAGTCTATTCGCAGTTATGTCGGTGAGTTAAGGGACTCTGTATTTGTTTTCCCTTGGGTTCAGCTGTTGTTGCTGATTCGCAAGATTTAAATTTCAATCTTAATGTTTTCTTCATTTTATTTGTTAGGTCTGTTTTTTTTTTTTTTACCAATTTATTTAGTTTGTTCGTAGTGTGCTTCTTTGGGTCTACAAGCAGCTTTGTCGTGATACCAAAATTTGGTTCTGGCTTATTAATTTCTCCATGGTATTAGATACTTGTTTATTTTTTCTGAGATATTGATGTATGAAATCGTGGTTCTATTATTTCAGCATTATATATATATATATATATATTGTACTCTCGTCAGTTTCTCCTACGATGCAGGAAGTCAAATTTTCCTTTAGATTCATTCAGCATGTTGTTCTAAATTAGAATACTAGACGCTGGTAGAGGCAAATCCACATATTTATTTTATCTTCAGCTTGCATCTTCTATTGTATCCAGCAATTGATGATTTGTATAAGCACATCTATGTATTAACATTGTCCATTTTGCTCTTGTAATGAAATCACCAATACCTTTGATCTTTATTGCATCTTATCCTCGCTATCTGTAAAGTTTTCCCGACTTATTGTCTCAGAGACTGCTCTACAGTTGGAAGTTCTTGTTGGAGATCTTGAAGATGCTGCCCTTTTTGTTATGGCTTGCCACACTGGGAATTTATTTTCAAAGAGGATTTCAAATTCATCAGTCTCTATGGTAACAAATTTTCTTCTATCTATTATTTGATAAATGCATTTTTGGAATAACAAGTTTATTATAGTGGTAGATTGTTAGACACGAATGTGCTCTGATTTGCAGGAATCTGCTAGAAAGCCAGATAAGTTGCTTCAGGCCATAAAATCAATGAATGATATTGAAGAAGTGTTGGAGACAGTTGTGAAATCCCACTCTCAATGGCATAGCATTGTGAGGTCTGTTGACAATAGAGTAGACAAAATATTGGCTTCTCTTCGTCCACAAGCCTTTTCAGATCACCGAGCTCTTCTTGTTTCTCTTGGTTGGCCACCGAAATTGCTACCATCAAAGGTTGGAAGTGGGCAAATCACATGTATTCCTAACCCGCTTGTTCTAATGCAAGAAGACAAAAGGAGAAGTTATTCAGAAAGTTTCATAGCACTTTGTGCATTGCAACATCTGCAAAGAAGAAGAGAAGAAAGACAGCTTAATTTTATCAAAAAAAAGGAGAACAATGTACAGCTTTGGGCTATTGATGAGCTGGTTTCTCCTATTGCATCAAGGATGGAACACCATTTTGCCAATTGGATTGAGCAGCCAGAATATATATTTGCTCTGGTTTACAAAGTTAGCAGAGATTTTATCACAGGAGTTGATGATGTCTTGCAGCCCCTAATTGACAGGGCAAGACTCATCAGTTGTAGTGCTAAAGAAGCATGGGTCTGTGCAATGGTTCAAGTGCTTTCTTGCTTTATAGAAAAACGAATTTTCTCTTTGCTTGCTGACAGATACAAAGCAAAGCTTGTGAAACTTGATGCTATATCCTCATGGCTTCACTTGATAGACCTTATTGTTGCGTTTGATAAACAGATGCAATCTCTTGTTAATCTAGATACTGGTCTGTTCTTGATAGAGTCTGAAAAGATTGATGGGCTCTCAAGAGGTATATCTGTCCTAACAATATTCTGCAATCGGCTGGATTGGCTCAAGCTTTGGGCAAAAATGGAATTCAAAAATGCCTGGAAGAAACTTAAAGTGGAGCTAAAAGAGGAGAAGATGTGGATGATTTATAATAAATCTTCAAGTTTTAACATGGATTTGGATTCTGTGCATCATGTACTTTCTACTGTAGAAGACCATAGAGCTCCTCCTATTGCAGAAGTTTTCCTTAAAATTGTGTGGGAGATGACTGAACGCTGCCAAACTATGCCATCCATAATATCACGTGCACGATTTATTAGATCTACAGCGGGAAAATTCCTCTGGTGTTTCTTTAAGATACTGCTCTTGCAGTTCAAGACAACTGAGTTACATCCTGATGATCCTGATGATGATGCCATTGTTAGAATATGTGGATTAGTAAATGCTGCCAGATATATTCAAACTAAACTGCTAGAATGGAGTGACAGCGTGGAATTTTTAGAGATGAAAATTGCTGAAAATGATTCTAGCAAGCCCATAGAAGATGATGCAACGACTTGTGGTTCCTTTTATAGTGAAGAAATAAGAAGCTTGTCTGAAATGGAAATCAACTGGCTCATGGAGGTTATTGCAGCCATTCTTCGTCAGTTTGAGCTCATTTCTTGGGAATATGTTAAAAATAAAGATCATTTTAAGCAAGAGCAAGATGATAAAAATATAGTTGGTGTGACACAAGCAATTGATTTAGTGGTCTCTACAGATTTCGTTGAAGCTCTAGATGCCCTTAGAAGTCGGCTTCATGTCGTGAGGACAAATCTCAACTCAAAGGATTTCTCAGACTTGTGGAGAAGCCTTGCTGATGGCCTAGATCATTACATTTCTCGCAACTTTGCCGCAAATGAAATCCGGTTCTCTGGTAAGGGGATCCATCAGTTTGAAGCTGATATGCAAGCATTGTTCTTCGTTTTCCAACCTTTTTGTGCTCGTCCTCAAGCATTTTTTCCCTGTGTTAAAGAGATTCTTAAGCTTTTAAAGCTGAAAAGAGAAGAGGTAAAGCAATTGCAAACAATTTTATCCAGTGGTGAAAATAAATCAAGATGTTTGCGTCTTCAGGGAATCACACATCTATCAGTCAATCAGGTTGCTCAAGTTCTGCGAAACAGAAATTTTGCATCTGCAATAAAGTGAGGTAAGTGAAAGAACTTCCGACTTGTATCATAAGCGATTAAAATATCACCCTATTTAGTGATAAAAATGTCACTGGACTCAACAGTGAATTCCCAATTCAGCCATATCCATTGGATTCAAATAGGTAGGCGGAGCAAGATATCAATTTTTAATACATTGTAGGCAAAAGATTGACTGGGGAGTCAGAAGGCTTGTCTGAGAATTAGAACTCGTAGAAACTGTAATTTTGTTTTGGCCTTGAGAACTTTGCATCTCAGCAGGGGTGTGCATGCTCTCTACAGACCCTTCTACTGTCTTTCAGCTGCTTCAATGGAGGGTTGCAGGGTTACAACAAGAAACCTGATGAAGACAAATTGCCCATTGTAAAAGGCAAGTGAAATGATACTTCACAAACTTGGTCCAGATTCTATAGATTTATGTGGATAGAACTACTGACAAGTGGCATCCTCTTGCTGATCTGATCATTTTTGGGGAAGATCAAATTATCTCTTATACAGGGACAGTTTCCATGCAGAGCTCGAGCCAAATTTTTGTTCTTGCAATATGGGGATATCATGTTGTGTGATTCCCCCCCCCCCCCCCCCAAAAAAAAAAGGAAGAAAAGTTCACTTGAATGCTGCTAGATTTATTGCTCTGTAAACAAAACCAATAGTCAATTTTGTAAACCGAGATTATTATTGACACTTAACATAAATTTGTATATCAATCGAAGCATTTCCTCCGAGCGTTGGCCCCAGCATTCCCTCTAGAAAGATAGTAGTCCATTTTTATTCTGACTAAAATAGTCATTTTTCAAACATATAATAATAATAATTATTATTATTATTATTGAATTTTAAAATTTACACTTAACTGATACATAAAACTTGTAAGTCATTTTTTATTGTTTTAAAATAGTTATTTCTCAATGCCTAATGGTCACTAGGAACAAATACATCGTTTTATCAAAAATTAAAATATCAGTAAGTTTTTAAAAATTAAATAATAATTATATTGTGATATTTAATTATTATTTACATGTTTTCGGTTTTCTTTTGTTGTCATTCTTCCGTTTACTGTATATTGATGAGCAATGAAAAGGCAGTACTAATCCAGTGTACTTTCACACATTATTAATATATTTTGAGATTGTCATGAACGATATTAAAACTGAACCCTTGCGGCGCTATCACACTTTAGACAGCAATATTGGTACAGCCAAGCTCTAATACTCTTGCATACTAAGCAACAAAGGAAGTTGACAATTTGGCAAATATATAAAGTCCAAGTACTAATTTCAATTTGCAGATAGGAAGGCAATATCTCTTCCCCTAGTTTTGATTGGTCTCATCAAGAACAGGCAAAGTTTGGTGCAGAATTTCAGCAGCAAGCTCAAGCTCTTGTTCTGTTATAATTAGTGGAGGAACAAGCCTCACAACATTGCCTTTTCCAGCTGTTAAAACTAGAAGACCAGAATTTCGGCATGCATCAACAAGAGGCGAGGCAGAAACATTTAAATCAATTCCTATAATTAGCCCTACACCACGAACCTCTCGCACGTGCCGGTTTCCTCCCAACTTTTGTTTCAGAAGTTCTTTGAAGTAGGCGCCTTTCTTAGAGACCGAAGCCAGGAAGTCAGCTTTTGATACTTTGTTCAATACAGCAATAGCAGCATTACAAACCAGAGGACTTCCAGCAAAGGTGCTTCCATGGTCACCATATTTTATAGCAGAAGCAACCTTCTCCGTTACCAGGACTGCTCCAATAGGCAGACCGCCAGCAAGTGGTTTGGCAAGTGTCATGATATCTGGAAAGACACCATAAGCTTCATGGGCCCAAAGATACCCTGATCGGCCTAAACCACATTGAACCTAAAATTGCAGGAAGATGCTCATTAAGAAGAATGGAATAACATATAATGATACCATATAAATTTCTCTGGAATAAAAAATTATGGGAACTATATAAATAAGTTATTATACAAAATCTATGCAAATTTACTGAAAGAGAAGTAATCTCTGTATTTATACATGTTGGGGGTTGATTCAAGTGATTATGTCCTCCGAAGCAATATAACAGAAGAAAAGGTAAACTAGACCAGTGGCAGATCCAAGACCCAATGTTTGTGGGAGCAAAAGGGCAAACTTTTAGAATTGGAACTTATTAGGGTCAAAATATTAAAAATAGTGGGGTCAAAAAAAAAAAGAGGAAAATTTTACATGCCTTGCATGTACTTTTTGCAAAAGTGAGTGGGGGCAAGTGTCCATACTAGCATGCAGGTTCGCCACTGCTCTGGACCACAACATATGGTATTCGTAACTTAGTAATGATATTTCACAGTTCTCAAAAAAGTTAGATAAAATCTTAATTTCTTAAAAAATTGTATATATTTTCATTTATCCCCTCATTAAATACCCTATATAAGTACCTTAGTAATGATAACTAAAATTTCAATACATCGCTTTGAAAAAAAAGAGTAATAAATGAAGTAGGCATATAGTTGAAAAGACAATTAAAAAAAAAAATTATCCAACGCCCTATATTTTGGACCAAGCAAAGCTTTTAGAAGATATTTTATATTGTGGCCTAGAAGGAGTACTGAGTTAAAGGAAAAGCCATTCTCGCGACTCCATCTTGCATAAGCATACTTCTTTTCCTGAAAATTAGCTAACAAGAAATGTTTTTAATTACTTTCAAACAGGTAGAGTTAGAAAATATATACCTCATCAAACACAAGAAGAGCCCCTGTCTCATCACAGGCATTACGCAGAGATTCCAGAAATTCTTTTGTAGCACTGTATATTCCCCCTTCTCCTTGGATAGGTTCCACAAAAACTCCAGCAATCTTGCCCCGGTGAATTAAGTCTACTGCTGCCTGGGCATTTCCATACTCTAGAAAAGTCACTCCAGGCATAACAGGTTCAAATGGAGCTCTGTACTGTTCTTTACTTGTCAAAGCAAGGGCACCCAAGGTTCTCCCATGGAAGCAATTCCTGAAAGCTATAAACTCTCTGGCTGGCTCTTTTCCATCCGTACATGTGTGTCTTTGATATTTCCTCGCAAATTTGATAGCAGCTTCATTTGCTTCCGTTCCAGAATTAGCAAAAAACACACGGTCAGCAAAAGAAGAAGCAACCAGGCTCTTTGCAAGTTCTACCTGCGCCAATGCCAAACTAATTATGAAACTGATAAAGGTTCAAAACATTCATGAGCCAACATAAAACACAAGACACAAACTCAAAAAAACTAGAGCAACAGTTTATTAAACAAGATTAAAAAAAGAAAAAGAAAAATCTCAAACACAAGACTCTTCTTGGCAAGTTCTACCTGCACCACTCCCAGACTAATAGACTTTGTTTGGAATGGGAAGAAAGAGAGGAGAGAAAGTTAGAGGAGGAAATTCGAGAAAAAAGGACATTTTTCACCCTCGTTTTCCCCTAATTTCCCCCTAAAAAGAGGGAAAACTCCAGGAAAAACTTTATGCTAGGGAGAAAAAAAATGTCTTTTTCTTCAACTTTTCTCCTCTAGTTGTCTCTCCTCCCTATTTTCTTCCCATTCCAAACCAAGGGCTAATGAAATTGATAAAAAGTTCAAAACATTAATGTGCCAACATAAAACACAAGACACAAACTCAAAGTAAACCATAGTAAAAGCTTAGTAAACAGGATAAAAAACTAAATCCAAAGCCCTAAACAAGGACATGTATGATATTAATGGAGGACCAAGTAATCAGATTCTTTTACCCCTTCTAAACAAACTGTGTTCCTGTTCATATGATGCTTCTTCCTGGCTTTTTTTATGTCCCCGTTAGAATTCTAAGAGAACTTTGCCATACAGGACTCCTATACGTGAACATTGCATGCACTTCTAAGTTAACGAACGCTTAGGGTATTGAATTTCAGTCTGCTACACAAATGTTACATTAGTATACTTATTTACAATCCAGAAATTTACTTATCACAATAGTTACTATGGATTTTCATTGACAACTATGTTCAACAACTCAAATTTGGATGGGGTGTGTCTCGTGCATTTGCATGGAGTACAAGATGAGCCACAATATTCATGACTTATGACTGGTATGACTTCCTAGAACTCTTATTAATACAATAATAAGAATGACAATGATTCCTTCTGTTTTATTTTTAACCTTTGCCATTGTGAGGACAGTAAAACACTTTCAGAATCTACATTAAACTTGAGTAACAAACCATGTACTTAACATAGGGCAATAATGTATTAACACTTTTGACATCTCTACAGCTTAAACGCTTACCAAATGATAATCTCAAGTACAACATAACTTGCTAAAATAATGAAATTCAATTAAAAAAAAAACAATGGAAACAAGTAGCAGTGTTATTTCTCCGTTTTCATTATTCGAAGGAGACCAATATCTCAATTTAGACAACTTAAGAAATTATTAGCAGTTGCTGTTATTCCATGCTTTCTAAGCTGAAGACAGCTTGTTTCAAATATAAGCAGATCAATCGTGGTATACCCATACCTGCGGGACTGAATAGTACACATTGCTAACATGAGTAAGTGTATTGGCTTGCTCAACCACAGCCTTCAACCAGTCTGCATCCCCATGCCCTAGTGCATTAACTGCAATCCCGGAACTCAAATCTAAATATTCCTTGCCTTCAATATCATACAACTTACATCCTTCACCACTCTCAAGCACAACTGGAGCTCTTGCATACGTTCCAACCAAAAACTTCCCTTCTGACTCAATCACCTCCTGAGTCTTTCCCAGTGAAATCTTCCCAGCATTATTTGGTGCCTCAACACCTAAATTAAGACGTGCAACCACAACCCTCTGACAACTAACCTGAGCAGCTTTTCTTTCACTGTCTGATATGCTTTGTCTCTCTACATTGTAAAATCTCCGAACATTGCATGATGATTGAGAAGTTGAATAATTAAGACCAATGTGAACAGCACTCATTGTGTTGGTCAAAGAAGATTTTTGGTTACCTATATTTGCTCAAAGAAAGAAAATAATTCAAGAATTATAGAATACTAGGACTAATTTTAGTTTTTTGAACAGGTTGAAACTAGCTTGCAGTAAAGTCAGGAGCAAACGGCCCACATAAAATCAAATCCATTAAATGGCGACTGAAAAAAAAAACAAGTGGAAATGATATGAAAACTTTCAATGACATTCAGATGCATGATCAATTTTGCCATACTAAGTAGGCTAAAATACACGAACATTGCACATAATTTCTAGGCAATAACGTGCTATCTCAATATCTTGGCTACCACTGCCAAATCGAATGAAAGGAACAATCATCACAAGCTATCATCTGATCATCTGGACAGGAATGGAACTATAAATCAAGTTTGGAGGGGCAATAAGAGAAAATGGGCATCACCCCAAATAAAAGTAACATATATATATATATATAGCATATAGGGGTGGAAAAAAGGATCATCAGTAGGAACAGGACAATACCCAAATAAAAATTTTCAATATTTGGATAACCCATTTAATAAGCATGCAGCAACACAAAAACACAACTTAAGTATGAAAGAAATTGTCGATAAAACACAGAGAAAACCAGCTTCCGATGCAGGCCATAGTTGCAGCCGTCTGGGTTTAGGAACAATGATGATAGTTATAATTATAAATATCAGAAAAGGCTCAATTCAGATATAGATTCACGGAAGAAAGGAACAAAAGGGCTATCTTGTTGAATCGAACAGGAAGAACGCGCACGCGCGAGTGTTTATTAGGTGTAAGACGGAAGTATAAATCAGTAGGTATGGAAGAATCATAGAGCAACCATCCTAAATAAACGAGGCGTTCACCAATGGAAGTTATGGATGAATGGAACATTACCTCTCTTCTCCACTTAGACAAGCACGAAGACGATGAAGAATGGTGCAGGCCAAGCGCGAGCAGCAGTGAAGAGAAGAGGGCACGGCGTCGCAGGCTATAATGAGAAGCAACGAGCACGAGCAGCGATGGAGCACGACTTCACGAGAAGCAACGAGCAACGGCGGCTGGGTTGAGCTAGGTTTCGGCATGGGAAGAAGAGAAAGTTCCGGGTCAATGACGATTAAGTCCAAGGACACTATTTTATTTTACATTTTGACATTTGTTGGGACGGTGACCACCAGAACATTTTTCGAAATGCCCACTTCCAAAATCCCTTAACTCAAAATTTCCCAAAGCCTAAAAAATTGAACTGACCTAGCTTTCCTTCACAAAGAACCCAATGCATGCATGGTAGATACTGAACAAAATTTGCGAATTCGAACTTATAACAGATCAAGCACAAATTGCCCATTGTGACATCCATATAGAAAACGTGCAGGAAGCAACAAATCATCACAGAAAAAAACTGAAAACGACAACTAAATGCCGAGAAAATGCGTCAAAAACAATTCAGTGACGATTTTGAATCTCAGAATGAGAATTTATGAGGACGAGATAAAACAACCAGGCTAAAAGAAGAGACTTTCCTCACCTGAAGAAATAAATACACAGATGAAAAAGAGGGAAGGAGTAGGGCCAGAAAGAGAGCAAGAACAAAAGCGAATTGCAGAGAAAGAAAGCTATGGAGTGCAAGGGAGGTTAAAAGGGAGCGAGTTGAGCAACTGAGCAATGGGTAGCAGAGAGAGAGTACTGCAAAAAAAGGAAACTCACCGGATAATGCCAGACGGAAACACAACGGCGAGATGAGGATGTTCGAACGACGCAGGCGGGCGAGAGGCTAGACCGATGCAGGGTCAAGCGATCAAGTTTTTTAATTTTTGAGGAAAGACAACTTTGGTCACTTTACTCGCCATGTTTTGCCGTATTAGTCCCTGTGATCTTTTACCTTGTTTCGAGTCACACATTCATAACCCCATTTATATCATGCGAGCGTTTCTAAAAAACTAAAAGGATCTATATTGTAGATGGAAAAAATATAAAGCCCTAGAATACTTAAAAAAAATGCGGGTGTCTGCATAGAGGGATGATGTGAGAGAGTGAGAGAAAGGGTGTGCACAATGACTCAATGGTCAACACTGGAAAATCATCCGATGAAGATGATGTTGGTCCGTCAAAGGAGGAAGATGCTATCAAAGGTAAGGCCATGAAGAGGATGGAAGAAGATGTCGTTTTGATGGAAAGTGAGGGATACAAAGAAGTTGCAAAACATGTTCCAACAAGTCCTAATGGATGTAACATCGGACAAATAAAGGATGATGGGCCAACCGAAGAGAGTGATGCTCAAGTGAAAAGCCTTGAAATGAAAGACGAGGATGTGGTGATGGTAGAGCAAGAGACTAGTGTCAATGAGACCGCACTGCCTAACACAAATCATAAGCATGAAAGTGATGAGATGAAAAAAGAATCGCCCATCCATAAAGAAAAAACAAAGCAACAAGATAATGCAGAGGATGAGAGCCAAGGTAGCAAAATGCAAATATACTACAAAGAAAAGCTGCCTGGTCAGGAAGCTTGTAAATTCCAAATAGATTTTGATGTCTTAATAAAGGAATGGCTAAAAGAAGAAAAGGAAATAGCACCAGTGCTCACTAAGGAGCACAAGAAAATCATGGAGAATCTCCCACATATAAACATGTCAAATGAATGCTTGAAAAATTTTATGTATGCCATGGAAAGATGCCTTAGTAATCATGTTACTAGGGAGAAATATGTCTTTAAAAATGATGAGAGACAGAGTGAGATGGATGCTAAGGACTAATAATTTTGAAACTATGGACCTAGAAAATAATTTCTTTGTCTTCAAGACATCAAACTTAGATCTATGCAAGAAGCTCCTCTTTAAAGGTCCTTGGACGATCCGAGGTTATCAACTTGCTATGCATTGTTGGAGTCCCAACTTCAACATTTTTGCAACAGAGTGAAAAAGATTGCAATTTAGGTGAGGGTACCAAACTTGCCCATGTACTATCATACCAAAAATTGCATGCTCGAGTTAGGAAATCTCATTGGGAAGCCACTAAAGGTTGACATAAATACTCTAGTTCACTGTTCAAGTTTCAGTATAGCCGTTGAAAGAGGACGATACGCCCAAGTTATTGTTTGCTTTAATTATGGCATATATGGCCACAAAATGGAGGAGTGTCCATTACTAGCCAAGAAATCCGATGAGAGTACAATAAACACAATGGATGGTGGAGAGCCACCGGCATTGGAGAATCTTGAAGTTGAAAGCACCTAGTTGTTAGCATATCGGGGGTCTTTATGGAGGAAGCATATGGTGGATGGATGCACCAAAAAAGGACCTGGTAAACAAGCATCATAGGGGTATGAACCTAAGCATTTGTACCATCAAAAGGATAAAAGTGATGAGAAGTCTAAGCTAAAGGAGTAACTAGTCCCCATTAACAAACGCTATGATGTCCTTTCAAACTTGTAAGAGGAGGCTATGCATGCGGACAAACCAAACCTTAACAAAGGAAAAGAGCCATAAAAGAGTGGAGAAGGAAGGATGTTAGAAACAATAACAATATAGAGGAAAATGTAATAGGAGGAAGTGAAATAAAAGAGCAAAAAAGAACTTTTGAAAGAGGTAAGAGTAGCAAGCAAAAAAAGCTTATCTTTTTGGAAGAGACAAAGGAGAAAGAAAGTCAAAGGAGGCTAAGTATAGTAAGGAAATGGAAGAAGAACGGATGAAAATGGCAGAGAAACATAGAAGAATTAGGCTAAGAAGAAATTGGGTCTATAGAATGTGATGAAACACTTAAAAAAATAGAAAAAAAAAAAGGAAGAACGAGAAACTACAATTCTTAACCCAAACTAGCTTCTTCCCTCTTGAAAAGAATACAAGTTAGCCAAGCCCACAATGTAGTCATGGGCTCCTAGAAGCGGATAGGCCCTTTAGACCTTAATGGTATTCTCATAAATAAAGGACTATAGAAAAAGAAAGGTGAACTAGAGAATACATATAATCAGTATCCCATTCAACAAATAAAAGAAATTTTAGTATACAGAGAAATTAAGAGCAAATGGTTAACTCTCCAAAAAAAACCCCTTGACCTACCTTCGTAAACACATAATAAAGCTCTAGGGGATGATAAAAATGAGGTGACTAACATGTGGTTTGAGACATAGAAGAAGAGAAAACAGAAGAGATTGAAGAAGATAGAGAAAAGGTTGTAGCTATGTAGCTATAGTGGATTAGGGACTTTCTATTTATCTCCTTATTTTTATGGATTTAGTCTCATGGAACTGCAGGGGGTAGCCTAAAAAACCTTTCCTCAATAGGTTAATGATTTGTTAAATAAAAATAAAGTAAATCTCCTGATCCTATTAAAAACTCCAGTCAATAGCCAATGCACAAAAAAAAAATTGTTCGAAGACTAGGTTTTGGCAACTAAATTTGGCTAGAATCTATGGGCTATGTGGGAGGCATATAAGTGTTGTGAAATGAAGAAGTGGTGCTTGTTCGATAAGCTTACTTTGCAACTCAATTGCTCTATTTTCATATTACTATTCTCTCATGTAATAAAAGTTTATAGCTATCATGTGTTTATACGGAGCTGAATTATATCCTTAGGAAAAACCTATGGAAGCGTCTTACTGATCTGAGCAAAATTATTATTAAACCTTGAATGGTAATTGAAGATTTCAATGCCTATCTTTTGAAAGATGATAAATTAGGAGGGCCTCCACTAAATTTTTTGTCTATTAAGCGTTTCTCTGATATACATATGAAACTCAACTAGTTGAGGTTGATGTTTTGGGTGATAAGTATACCTGGGATTGTGGTTTATTAAAAGAAAGGATTGATTAGGCTTTTACTAATACCCTACCACCTGAGTCACATACCTTAGCAAATTCAAATCCAACCATTGACCTTTGTTGATCCAGTGTGGGAATAGAAAAAATGCTTTCAATTTCAAACCTCTTTATTATTGTCAAGCTGCCTGGTTGCTTGAAGATGACTTTGTTGATATGGTTAAAGAGGCTTAGACATTACATAAGTGGTTTGAAAATGTCAACAAATTTGTGAAAAAGAGTGTGAATTGGAAAAAAAAAAGGATTGGTAATATCTCAACTAAGAAAAGAAGCTTGGCCAAAAGAATTGAAGGAGTGGAAAAAGCCAGTAGTAAAAGGGATAGTCTTTACCTAGTTCAAGTTGAGAAGAAATTAGGGAAAGACTACAATAAGGTGCTTTCTCAAGAATAACTTCTTTAGTATCAAAAATCTAGATGTAAATGGCTAAAATGGGGAGACAAAAATAGTCATTATTTTCATGCTTCCATAATAGTTAAAACAAAGGAGAAACATAATTGAAAGCTTGAAGAACTAGAATGGCATATGGATTCTTGATCAGAAAGAATTGAAATACTTGGCTAGAGATTATTATATGGATTTGTTCAAAAGCAATGATTATAATAATGAGATTTTGAGGACTTAAAGCACTTATAACGCACTCAATGAACTTGATCGCAAAGCCTTAATGCGGAAGTCTGTGATGATGAAATCAAGGAAGCCCTTTTTGACATAGGCCCTTTTAAAGCACCGAGTCTAGATGGGATACAAGCATTTTTATACCAAGATTATTGGCATATTATAGAAGATTTGCTTTGCAAAATGGCCAAAGAGATTTTTGATGATCCTTCCACGGTAGCTTGGTTGAATAAAACTTATTTAGTCCTCATCTTGAAGATTGATAAGCCAGAGAGTATGAAAGACTTCAAACTAATCTCCCTTTACAGATTAATCATGTCCTGTATTCAAACATTTGCTATGCAAATTCTATAAAATGGAGAACCTATTAAATTGTTCCAACCTTCTTGCAAAATTAGGCAGGGTGACCCTATATCCCCTTATATTTTTACTATTTATATGGAATGCCTAAATCATGTGATAAAAGATGCAATTAGAGATAAATCTTGAAAGCCAATCCATCTAAATACTATTTATCTCATATTTTCTTCATAGATGATCTTGTTCTCTTCAGTGAAGCATCCATTGATTAGGTTGAGATCATGATGGATTGTATGACTTGCTTCTACTTAGCCTTAGGCCAAAAAATGAACCCTATTAAGACTAAAATATGTGTGTAATCTAATTGCATTTATTAAGGGGCATGGAGTTGAGTAATTTAATGGGAGTTGGTCTAATGGGTGATTTGGGGAAATACCTGAGTATCCCCTTACTACATTAAAAAAAGCCTCCTATATTACTTTTGCTCCTATTCTGGAAAAGTCAAGGAAAAGGTTATCAAGCTAGAAGGGTAGGCACTTGACTATAGCAAGGAAAACAACTTTAATTAAAGCTGTCCTATTTGCTTTACCAACCTACTACATGTAGACAATACTTCTTCCTAAAAAACTTCTCCAGGATCTAGAAAAGGACTGTCATAACTTTCTCTAAGGAGGAAATGATAAGGTGAGAAAGCTTCATCAATCATCTTGGGAGGTGATTACTAATGACAAGAATAAGAGAGACTTAAGTGTGAAAAACCTCCAAAAACAAAATGAAGCTCATATGATGAAGTTATGTTGGAATATTTTGCATAAAAAGGATGCATTATAGGTGCAAATCCTTAGAAGCAAATATGATTGGGGAGATGCACGGATACCTATTGTGAAGAAGAAGTAGAGGTCTTTTACCATCTGGAGGGGCATATGTACAGTTTGGGAAATTTTCAAGAAAGGTTTGAAAAAGATAATTGGCAATGGTAGAACCACATCCTTTTGGTTTGACAAATAGTCTGAAGTACAAAGCTCTCTTATTGATGTTATACGTGGCTTGGAAGGCTTTATTTCACATAATGAAACTGTTAGCAACTATGTTAATGTAAGGGGTGAATGAGACAAAACGAAGTTAAGTAGTTGGTTCAATGC